ACCTTTATAAAGCTTGGAAAAGTTAAAACTAAATAGTTCAGAAGTAGTTCAGTTGGTAGAGTGCTTGCCTAACAAGCAAGAATGGAACACTGGGCTCCATACCCGGTACTATATAAAATGGATGTGATTACACACACTTACAAAGATCAGGAGTTCAAGACCATCCTTGACTATATCACAAGTTCAAGGTTAGCTCACACTCCATGAGATCCTGTCTGTAAATAAGTAAAATGCAGTTCAAAGGAGTTGAAGCAACTGGCTGTTTGGGGGATGAAATCTCAGTTCTAGGACCCTAAACCACACAGTTGGCTTTGAATGCCTCATCTGTAAAACGGAGAGAACAAAGACCACCTCCCACTGTGGCTCAGGACCAAATGACACAGCAGCTGTAAAAGGTCTGAGCCCCATAGATGGTCCAGAGTTGGGCTCCCTTCTTTGCTTCTCTCCTGCCCTTCCTCTTCCTGTGCTCCTCAGCCCAAACTCCCTGCCTTCCAACACTCTCAGGTCACCAGACATGGTGAGACCCAGCTTTCCCCAGAATGTGTATGGCCCAGGGAGGACAGAAACAACCAGGCTGAATCTGGAGCAGGTAAAGGGACAGAAGATGTAGAGAATGAACAGAGCTCCAAGCAGAGACATGGGCCCTGCCCCAATGCCAGGGCAGGTCCAGTCCCAGCCGCTGTGGAGGAGACTCCAGCAGCAGGGTAGAAGGTACCTGTTTGTTTGTTTATTTGGCAAATATGACTGTGTACCAGGCCGCCCCAGGTACTTGGGACACAGCTGTGGATGAGGCAAAAATCCCTGCCTTCGTGGAACTTACATTCAAGTTCCTAAGAGATGCCATGGGTGGGGAGGGATATAAGAAATGAGTGAGTAAAGTCTGCAGTGGCATGTGGGATGACAGGGAGGCAGAGATCCTTCTCAACATGGCCAGGAGAGCGCAGACCTGGAAGAGAAGGTGAGAAGGAGCCTGCTCTGACACCTCTGACATCACAGGCAGGGAGCCATTTGCGCCTGTGCCCTGAAGCTGCTATTTGCCTGGAACACACACAGCGAGTCCAGGACTCACCGGGCAGCTCACAGAGTCATAGGGACTCTGAAGTGCTGCACAGGTGGCAGCAAGAGTATCGGCTTCCACCCTGAGTTTGAGGGAGAGCCACAGGAGGTTTTGAGCCAAGGATGGCAGGATAATGCCCATATAGCAATGGTCTCCCTGAAGGAGGCGCAGAAATGGGAAGACCGGTTAGGAGGTTCTATACTACACACAGAGCCCCAGGATAAGTCTGTGCTGGAAGGGAGCTGGCAGAACAGGGACAAAGCCCTGTCCTCGAGGACCTTAGATTCTCCTTGTCGGACCCATCCAGACTGCAGTGGGCAGGAGTCCCCTAGTCCCCAAGCAAGGGGACTTCCCTACATAGCAAACCTACCCCAAGACCAGATATTCAATTCTAGGGGAAACCAAGGTGTGGATCCTTATCTGGGCAAGTCCACAGAGCAATGGTTCCCCCAAGAAGAAAGAGAACCAGCAGAAGGCAGGCTTGGGCAAATGGGCCTGAAAACATATCACATTGCAGCTATCTGCCCTAGCACACCACAGGACAGCAGCTACAGTGACAGCAGACAGTGGGGCCACAGTCTCCTCAATATAGAAGATGCTAGAATGAGGCTTTGGGGGAAAACTCAGAGGTGTGATGTGTTCCTGCTCCAGACCAGTCAGAGTGCAATTTCCCAGCAGTGCGGCAAGCTGCCTGCAGCAGTCTCGTCACTGATACTGAGGAGTATCACAGAGTTAGTGGAGGCCCCTGGGCTCTCTCCAGTGTCTGGAGGGGCAACATCGCTGTGCCTCCTCACACTGCCTCCCTACCACATGACCCTTAGAATGCCCCTAAGAAGCGACCATTATCCACGTTTCACATGTGAAGAATCAAGTTCAGATCATCCAGATAACTAACCCAAGCTCCCAAAGCTAGTGACTGGGGGAGTCTGAGCTTGAAGCCAGGCCTTGAGATATCTACTCAGTGGTTTTTCTCCAATAGATTATGAGAAGAGAAAAGAACACTACAAAGGGTCTACCACCTATAACTAAATAGAGACTCAGGACAATGATGGAGCTGGACAGGAAGCCCAGCTCGGCCAAGGCTTCTCCTCCCTCTCTTAGCTTCCCTCATCCATGAAAGGACATGTGAGGGCTCAGTATGGTCTCCCAGCATCATTTAACAAATTCTTATCATCCTTCTGCACCAGGCCTGATGCTGGCTGCTAGTGATGCGGATGAAGAAGATGGGTCCCTGCCCTCTACCTGTCAGTGAGGAGAGAGAGGTACAGGAGGTGCTGGGGCAATGGCAGACTTAAGTGACTCTGAGGTGTATAGCCCCTTCTCTAAACATGGCTCTCTGGCCCATCTATAAAATGAAGCTTTGGAAACTGTAGCGGCCATCTGACTACCCTGCCCACCTCCAGCTGTAGGCCTGTGTCCCTTGCCAAGAACACAAGCAGTAACAAGGATGCTTAAATTCTGTCAACCCCAATTCTGCCCCTGAGACCTAAGGGTAGCCCAGGAGCAGGTCCCAGGGACATAGACAGTTGCAACATGAAGTGGACTGGAGGCCTGCCCACCTCTCCCCAGCTGCCTTACCCCTGGGGCCACCAAGAGCAGAAGAGGCAGCTCATGCAGGCACCTGGGATAGATGGCTGCAGGCTCTGACATCGCAGGAAAGAGATAAATGACAGGTCATTTCCCCTGATGCACTTGAAGGAATCTATTCTCCTAGCCATACCAAGCTCAGGCACCCCACACACACAGGCAGATAAACACTGACAGATGGGGGTGGGAGCCCATGTCCTTCTCCCTTGGAAGGACACGGCAGCATCCGTGCAGGCCCAGCAGAAGGTCACACTGGCCACTGGCTCACACCTAGCTCCAGGCTGTCCTTGTCTCTTCTTCACCCCTCCCCTGTGCCCAACCCCCCCCCACTGACTCATCCATCTAAGGAGTGCCTGGCAGAGGGGGAGAGCTGGGGGGCACTGGAGCCTGCCGACAGCCCCATCAATCTCAACCTACATGCTTGGCACATCAGCGTTCCTTAAGCTGTTCCTGGACAGGAGGGTGTTGGAGGAGCCGGGGGAACTGTCTTGGGGAGAAGAGAAATCACATCAAGCATCAGAGAGCAAATGGTGGAAGGAGCCCGAGACTATTAAAATGTGGGCCATGTACAAAGACAGTAGGGAACTAATTAAGATGCAGGATTTGCAAACGCTGGGGAAGTTGGCCGCAGCCTGCTCCATCTGTAGAGTTCTGGCAGTTCCGCACAGCAGGGACAGCACCCTAGGCAGGCTCAGGCCTCTTTCTGGATGTTTCCTTTAAGGCCACCCTTGTGAGGGTCTTTGTAGCTGGTTTGTTGGCTGGCTTATGGCTTTCTCTGTTCGGGGGCATCCTAAGCTACAGTCTCCTTCAGGGGTCCTGCAGTTTCCCCCTGCAGTGCAAGGAAGGAAGGAAGTATATCCTGGTCATTCATCCCCGGTCATTGAAAAGCTGCCCAAAACAAGAATACAAGTAGAAAGAACCAGAACTCGTTTCTGGCTGCCTTCCCTCCTGTTACCCTTGGAATTCAAGTAAGGGAGGCAAAGAGAATGCTGGTGCCTGAGCGTTGCAGGCCAGAGGCACTGACCAGGGCTCAGGTTCTCCAAGCAGGAGAGTCCTGCATTCAAAGCCTGTGAACACCGGATGAATGTGTGCATCGGGTCCTGGAGAGAACGGTGACCGTCCTGACCTGCTCTCTTTAGTATCTCTTCTTGGCTGCACCACGGACCCTTGAGAAATTAACTTCCTAATCTGAACCACAGTTTCCCAACCTCTAAAATGAAGATAATACCGTCCCAAGACCGCAGGGAACAAAGGCCTGGAGTTGAAAGATGCTAAACTAGCTGAGCATTTAATCCAGAGGGATATTAAGGAAAAGTTTGTAGGGAACCTTTTTCTTTCCTTCTCCAGAAAAAAAAGGGGGCTCCTTTTTGAATGAACTAGTTTTGCCCACTATCTGCCCTCTCCTTTACCAGGGCAGAACTCAGTTACTTGGGGTGGGACCAGGAGGAGGCTTCTCACTGTCACCAGATTTCCTGTTGTAGGAACTGTGACATGCCTACATGGCAAATGCCTTGTGCTGCCTCCGTGACCGAGTGTGGGCTACGGCAAACACTGCACTCGGTTGTAGGGCAGCCGAGAGAAACAGTGCTGTGTGTTGCCCTTCAGACGCCAGGCAAGCGGGAGGCTGTGGGTCCTTTACTCAAGATAGACTGGAGGGGGGGGTGTGAGGAAGACACAGGTCCAGGACAATATGGATGCCCTGAGACGCCAAAGAGCTCTTCCCAGCTTGCAGCCCCTTCTCACCCCACGCCACACGTTTGTCTTCCCAACAAGAAGTAAGTGTAGGAGGGAGGACATATTCACAGTGACAGGGAGGTGGAGGATGACACAGTCACAGTGGCAGGGAGGTGGGATGAAAGCTGCCAGACTGAGGAGCCCCTCCATCCGGGTATAACTCCGACTGGGGAGACCCTCCATCCGGGTATAACTCTGACTGGGGAGACCCTCCATCCGGGTATAACTCCGACTGAGGAGACCCTCCATCCGGGTATAACTCTGACTGGGGAGACCCTCCATCCGGGTATAACTCTGACTGGGGAGACCCTCCATCCGGGTATAACTCCGACTGAGGAGACCCTCCATCCGGGTATAACTCTGACTGGGGAGACCCTCCATCCGGGTATAACTCTGACTGGGGAGCCCCTCCATCCGGGTATAACTCTGACTGGGGAGCCCCTCCATCCGGGTATAACTCCGCCTGAGGAGCCCCTCCATCCGGGTATAACTCCGACTGAGGAGCCCCTCCATCCGGGTATAACTCTGACTGGGGAGACCCTCCATCCGGGTATAACTCCGACTGAGGAGACCCTCCATCCGGGTATAACTCTGACTGAGGAGCCCCTCCATCCGGGTATAACTCTGACTGGGGAGACCCTCCATCCGGGTATAACTCTGACTGGGGAGCCCCTCCATCCGGGTATAACTCTGACTGGGGAGCCCCTCCATCCGGGTATAACTCCGACTGAGGAGCCCCTCCATCCGGGTATAACTCCGACTGGGGAGACCCTCCATCCGGGTATAACTCTGACTGGGGAGACCCTCCATCCGGGTATAACTCTGACTGGGGAGACCCTCCATCCGGGTATAACTCTGACTGGGGAGCCCCTCCATCCGGGTATAACTCCGACTGAGGAGCCCCTCCATCCGGGTATAACTCCGCCTGAGGAGCCCCTCCATCCGGGTATAACTCTGACTGGGGAGACCCTCCATCCGGGTATAACTCTGACTGGGGAGACCCTCCATCCGGGTATAACTCCGCCTGAGGAGCCCCTCCATCCGGGTATAACTCTGACTGGGGAGCCCCTCCATCCGGGTATAACTCTGACTGGGGAGCCCCTCCATCCGGGTATAACTCCGCCTGAGGAGCCCCTCCATCCGGGTATAACTCTGACTGGGGAGCCCCTCCATCCGGGTATAACTCTGACTGGGGAGCCCCTCCATCCGGGTATAACTCCGACTGAGGAGCCCCTGCATCCGGGTATAACTCCGACTGAGGAGCCCCTCCATCCGGGTATAACTCTGACTGAGGAGCCCTCCATCCAGGTATAACTCTGCCCAGGGACAAGTGGCTTCAATGGTAGCCAGGCAAGGCTCTTTTTGTCCCCACTCGGGGAGCCTCCTCGTTGAAGATGAACTGTGTCTTGCAGGGAGTGCGGGGGCGCTAAGCCAGAACTTACTCCAGGTTCTCTCTAGACTGCCAGATACAGCCTCCCTTCCTGAGCACGGACCCGGTTTCCTGACGGCCCACCACGCTCAGTCCAGACACAGGGACAGCCATCTCACACCTAGCCCAAGGAGGACAGGAGGGCAAGCTGAGGGTTGGCATGACGCTCACATAGCCTGTCCTCCTTCTCCACGTAAGATCTCACACGGAAGATACTCATGACATGGGGCCATCAAGTTCTAGGCAGCAACCCTCTGCACATAGACCAGGGTTCTCCTCCTACAAGCAAACGAGGCACTTGAGGATGGTGAAGGCAGGGAGCCCAGGAGTCTTGACATGTCCAGGAGTGCCTACCCCAGAGTGTGAGAAGATGGGTTGGCTGCCTTCCAATATAAATTCACTCTTCTAATTTCTGCCAAGATGAATAAATTATTGATTTTTAAGCAAGTTTTATCCAAAGAAGATTATATATGATGTTATACAATTTATTTTTCCCAGTTAGCCATACATCTTAGACATCTTTGATTTTCTTGGGTCATTTTTTAAAATATGTGTGGGGTATATGTGCACATACGTGTGCATGCTGGGGAACACATGTCATGGCACACACATGGAAGAGAGAGGACAGAACCAGCTCCACAGTTGCCCTTTACATGGGTTCTGAGGGTTCAACTGGAGTCCCCTGACTTGTGCACCCTAACCTGTCAGCCACCTACCTCACTGGCCTTTGAGTCATACTTTCAAAAGGCAAAGTAACATCCATTTTATGAATGTAATATGCAACTAACTAGGCCCCATCGAAGGGCTCTATAATAGTTTCTAAACTTTGTTTATTGTAGTTATGAGCAATGATACAGTAATTATATTTAAGTAAATATGTTTATAGTTTAGATGATCTGGACCTAAAACTAAATAACACATGCTGTGTGTGGTAGATGGAATAAGAATTCTTGTTCTCCAGTTAGTAGGACTTTTTGGAAAGAATGAAGAGGTATGGCCTTGTCTGAGATATGCCATTGGGTCTATGCCAGGCCCAGGCCCACTCCTCTGTCTCTCCTATCCCCTCTCTCCTATGTCCTCTCTCTTCTCTCCCCTCTTTCTCCTGCCTCCCCTCCCTCCCTCTCCCTCTCTTCTTGCTGCCTATGGATCAGGATATAAAGCTCTCAGCTACTGCTCTAATGCCACACCTGTTTCACACCATGCTGCTCATGCTCTAACCCTCTAAAATTGTAAGCAAATCCCCGGTTAAATGTCTTCTTTTGTAAGAGTTGCCTTGACCATGGTGTCTCTTCACGGCGATAGAACAGTAACTAAGACACTGTGCGTGATGTATCACTAGCAATAAGATGTCCAGTTGAATGGACCGGTGCCTTGTGTGTACGTGTGCTCATGTGTGTATATACGCACATGTATGTCAATGCACATTGCATATTGTGCACATGTGTGTGGAGGCCAAAGGCCAACAACGATTTCTTCCTGGGCCACTCTCCATCTTATTTTTTTCTTTGTTTTCCTCTGTGGTTTTGGGGAGGGGTGTGCACACACGTGCACAGGTCAGAAGACAACCTATGGGTGTGCGTTCTCTCCTTTTCCTATGTGGGTTCTGGGAATCAAACTCAGGCCAGCAGGCTCGACAGCAAGCATCTTCTCTTGCTGGCCTCCACCCCACTTCATACCACCTTTTGAGACAGGGTCTCACTTACCATGGGGCAGCAAGGCCTAGGGCCCTCCTGACTCTGCCTCCCTAGCGCTGACGTTAGGAGAGCTTGCATGGCAAGCTCTTCACTGCATCATCTTCCCAGCTCAGAGCCAGTACTTGGTAAACACTGAAGGTGCTGCTAAGACTTCACCCACTGTCACAGGCAAAGGACCAAATCCCTCCTTCTCCCCCTCTGATTCCCTCACTGCCACAAGCATTCATGCACATATATGGAGACACACATATACACATATACATATAAACAGAGATACACATACACACATGTACACACACATATATGCAGAGACATGCATATACACACGCACACATGCACACACACATATATAGAGATACACATACACACATGTACACACACATATATGCAGAGACATGCATACACACACTCACACATGCACACACATATATACAGAGATAAACATACACACATGTACACGCACATATATACAGAGATACACATACACACATGTACACACACATATATGCAGAGACATGCATATACATACGCACACATGCACACACACATATATAGAGATACACATACACACATGTACACACACATATATGCAGAGACATGCATACACACACTCACACATGCACACACATATATACAGAGATAAACATACACACATGTACACGCACATATATACAGAGATACACATACACACATGTACACACACATATACAGAGATACACATACACACATGTACACACATATATGCAGAGACATACGTACACATACATATGCACATGTACACACACTTATACACAAACATATATATACAGACACAAATACACACATGTATATCACACTTAAACACATATATACATGCACACACTTATTCACACACACATATGTATACAGACACACATCACAAAAACACACAAGCACATACACACTTAAGTGCCATATATACATACACATATATCTACATACACACACACATACACACGCTATTATACACATACACATATATATACAGACACACATACATACTTAAACACACATACATACATACACATATATCTACATACACACATATGTATATAGACACACACAGCTGACTTAATAGGAACTTGTGGCAAGTTCTCCAGAGACCCCATCAGTGATTCCCCTCTGAGTCACACTCAACAGTACCAATCAGAACAATGAGCTCTCTTGGAGCCCAAATCAAGTAGAATAAAACTAAGAAATGACCTGATTGACCTGGACATACCAGAGAGAACATACCCCAGGAAAGAGAGGTGGCCCCTTAGATAGGAACTGCATCTTATAAATGACCAAAGTAGAGACCCTAAGCACCTCCCCTGAGGGCACTGAAGAGGGGCTGCATTCTTCCACCCACCAGAGATGGCATCCTTTTTTTGGGAATCCAGCCAGTGACAGTGTCACCTTGTCACCCCAAGATGCTTATGTGCTCACTGAGGCCTGTGTTGAAGAGACGTTCCTGAAATTGTGGCTCTTTTGAAAAACCCAAGTGTTAGAATGGGAAGTTAGGTCAGTCAGTAAAGTGCTTGCATACAAGCATGAGGACCTGAGTTCAATCCCCAGGATCTACATTTAAAAATAGGTAAGCTCTAAAAGTTAGGCATGATTGCTTGTCCCTCTAATTCCAGAAAATTCTCGGATCAGCTGAATCAGCAAGTTCCAGGGCCAATGAGAGACCCTGTCTTATAAAACAAGGTGGAGGTTCCTGAGGAAGGCACTCAGATTGACCTCTGGCTTTGGTATACATGAACACTCACGTGCACACACACACACACACACACACACACACACACACACTCAAATGCCAGCCTGAGTCATCTCCAGGAAGATCGTGACATACTGCTTTGATGGTATTTCATCCTGGCCATTTCCAGGTGCCAAACTAAGGCCATTGATCCCAGGCCAAGGCCACTCCTGGGCATCTTTTCTCACCACTTCAGGGATTTGGGCGTCTGTTTCACGGGCTGTACAGTAGGTAGACTTTCACAAAGCAGGAACAAATGTCTCTAAGAAGTGTATAGTTCCTGATTCCCGACCTGGGTTGTTTACTGTCTCTCAGCACCTGAGCCCTGGTTGGAAGAACAGGCATCCCAAGACCGTGCTCCGTATCCGCAGGGGAAAAGGATACTCGTAAGGGCCCACACTCACAGAACCACAGCTCCTCTCTCCAGAGCAGCCCCTGCTCTAGAAGGCTGAGCACTGATTGTCTGGGCCTTTCTCCCTGAAGTTGGTACAGTCGCTTCCAAGTCATGCTCTCAGACTGGAGTGTGCTGGAGGAAACTGCTACTGGAAACCGCAAACCCTGCCTTCCCCCTCGGCCATTGTGGCAGGCCAAGGATGGAGGCATGTCTCCAGTGCCTATAAACACAGCTGCCCCACCCAGCCCCAGACAGGAAGCAGATGCTGGGAGGCCAGGATGCCCAATGTGAATATCCGCAGACAGACAGATCAAACCCTCAGAAAACACTTTTAGTTTCAGTCCCACGAGCAGCGGTCCACGGCTTCTCAGACACATGCTCCACACAGTAAACATCCTTGACTGTCCACAGGCTGGCTGCTCTCACCTATGAAATAAACGTCAAACACTGTTCCCTTCCTTCCCTCCCTAAGCCGGAGTACGAGGTAGGAGCTGGTGTTTGCTAAATGGGAAAGCTTTGGAAAGGCTTTGCCAAGCACTATGCTAATCAGAAGCCACTGCTGAGGAAGGTGGTGACTCAGGCCCCTGGACGACAAGAATTTGTGGAGCAAACAAAAACCCTCCCCAGGGCTTCTCTGCCACAGCTGGGGAAGGGGACTGACCCGCTGGGTGCTGAGTCTGGGGCTTCCCCATGAAGAGAAGAGTGTACTGCCCGCCCTGAAAGGCATACGGCCCTCACAACAGTTTTGGGTACCCAGATTTACTGTTCCATGTATCAGTTTTCTATTTTTGGCTTAGGCTAGTCAGGTTTGAGGTCCTAACACATATGGCTGAAGGAATTGCAACCATCTCTTGCTGTATTGAATATTCAATACATATATTAATTTTATAATCAAAGTAAATGTCTAAAGAGACCTCTCTGCAGCTGATGCAGCAGAAAAGCCCTGAACAGGAACTCAAGCAATTTGGATTCCTTGCTGGGCCCATAGTAATTCCTGTGTGACTTTGAACAAGTTTCTTAACCTGGCCAGACTGCAATAAAGTAAGAAACTGGGTTTAATGATGCCTTTTAGTCCTTTGAGCTCGATGTATTTGATTTTATGACATCCTCTGACACATACTCTCTTTCTTTCATTTCTTTCTTACTTCTTAGACATGATTTCACTGTGTATGCTTGGCTGCCCTGGAACTTGCTATGTAGATCAGGCTAGCTTCAAACTCACAGAGATCCATCTGTCTCTGCCTCCGTTGTGTTGAGATTAAAAGTGTGTGCCACCACGGCCAGTGCATTCTTTAATTTTTGTTGTCGGTTTGGGGAGGGGAGGGCTGTTTGCTTTGTATAGACAAGGTCCCACATAGCTCAGGTTGACCTAGAACTCACGAAATAAGTCAGGCTGGCCTCAAACTCATGGTGATAGATGCCACCACCATCACTACTGTTGCTGCTGGGGGTCCCACTTTCTGTGTGGTCCTAGAAGCACACTGGCCGACGCAGCTCCATAGCTCTATGTGTCTGTCAGGTACTTGAAGTGTGGCTGGATCAAAAGCAGACTTGGAAAAGTGCCAAACCACACTGTAATGCAAAAAGAAACTCCGAGCATAGAACAAAAATGCCAAAGAACTGCCATCACCCCTGGACTGGTGCATACTGGGAGGACAATACTTGTGCTGACCCCATGGTCCTGATCACACTGAGGAAAGTGACTAAAAGCTCACCTGTCATCTTGATCCAATACCTGGGTGGAGTCTGAAGCGACCATCCCAGCATTAAGGGGTTCAATAGAACTAAGGACCTCACACACTGAGCAGAGGTCAGAGGTGAGGCAACTTGGTCAAGGGTGAGGCAACTTTGCCTTGACTATGTCATGCTGCTGCCCAGTCACGGATGTGAAGACACCCGCATGTCTGAAGTGTCACAGCTGGGTCAAGGCAAAGAAGCCTGCACCCCAGGAAGGATCTTAACAAGCTGACTCTCACACCCCCAAAGCAAGTTCTAGTTTTAACAAGCTAGCCTTTTCAGCTGGGTGTTGGTGGCGCACACCTTTAATCCCAGCACTCGGGAGGCAGAGGCAGGTGAATCTCTGCGAGTTCAAGGCCAGCCTGGTCTACAAGAGCTAGTTCCAGGACAGCCTCCAAAACAATACAGAGAAACCCTGTCTCGAAAAAAAAAAAAGCTAGCCTTTTTATCCTAGAAAGTCACACAGGTGAGACGGTCCCCAGGACACTCTTGCCTCTTTGGGAGAATATACCAGGTCAAGGTGTCTTTGTTGAGGTGACAAGGAAGAGAGAGACCTGAACCAAAGTATTACTGACTCTGGTAAGGGATGGAAATTACCAAGGTCTGCCCCCTACACCTGCTGGCTTTGCTTCTCAGGGGCAGCAAGATGGAAGAAAAAAGACGACGTAAGACCCCAAAGCCCATAGACCTTTGGAGGACAACAGGACTTACACACAGAGTAAGCACATGTTCATCTCTGTGGGCCACACGGGCCCCATTCTTCTGTCAGAAACTCTTTCTGTTGGTTTTTTATTATTATTATTTTGTTTTACTTTTTCTTGCAGTACAGGGGTTGAACTCCAGGCCTTGCACATACTAGGCAAGCTCTCTACTACCGAGCTGCAGCCTAAGGCCAAGAAACTCGCCATGTGGACACAAGAGCAAAGAGTCTTGCCATGGGCAGCTCCAGGTTCCTCGCCTCTCCTGCCACTGGCCCCGCTGATCTCCACAGGGCACTCACCAGGTTTTATTTCCAGGAGTCGCAGCTTCGGGTCCTCTGGTGGGTGCAATCGTCGCTTCTTGCGCCAGCAGCGGGCAGGGTACGTGTACAGCTGTCCCGGAGCAAGGCCTGTGGAGAGAGACAATATAAAGATAAGAGGCTATAGAGCAGAAAGGACATCATAGACTTCCCTGCCTCACCTATCATTCGCAGTGAGAGACAGCTAGAGCCCAGGGAGGTAAAGTAACTTGTTAGTGTCATTCAGCTGGTCCATAGTCAAGCCAAGGTATAATCTATTATGTCACCCCAGACTCTATATCTATTCCATCATAATGTTCAGCAGGCCTATTGCCAGGCGGAGCCACCACCTTTAACAAAAAGGTATTATCTGACTTGCAGAGACTTGTAAACCACTGGGTTTGTAAGACAGTGGCCCTGCGGTGACTGTCCCTCTGTCCAGAGCCAAGTTAAACAAGTTCCCTTCAGAGAGGAACAGCAAAAGTCAGTGAACCTCCCTGAGAGCCTCGACCAAGAAGCATTTCAAAGACACAAGATCACAAGAGCCATATCTGCTTACAGCACCATCTCACCACTGTCAGCTTCTGACCATTTGCAGAGGCCAAAAGACATGGGCAACTCATGGAGGCATGACCTGCCCCAGACACCCATATGCATAGCCTAGAAAGTGTTCCTAGACTTCCTGGCCCATGTGCCAGGCCTCACACAAAGAAATGGGCCTGAGTCCATAGGGTGGGTTAGCATGCACTATCTCCCAAAAGCAGTCCCTGTCTACACGTGGCCACTAACACCACCAGCTTCATTTCTATGCCAACACCCTGCATACACATACATATCACACACACAACACACAGAGAGAGAGAGAGAGAGAGAGAGAGAGAGAGAGAGAGAGAGAGAGAGAGAGAGAGAGAGAGAGAGAGAGAATGTGTGTGTGTGTGTGTGTTATGGGATGGGAAGATGGCTCAGTGAGTAGTACAGTAGCTGGAGGACCTGAGTTCAGTGCCCAGCACTAGAGGGCACATGCCTATAATACCAAGCGCTGGGGAGGAAAAATGGAGACAGAGGGATCCCAGGGCCTTGCTGGCCAGCCAGTAGAGCTGAAACACCAAAGTCTAGGTTCATTGAGTGACCCTGTCTCAAACAATAAAGTGAAGGGCGATGAGAAAGATACCCAAACTCAATCTTTAACTTCTACACACACGCATGAGTAAGCGCACGTGTATACACACACACCACCACCACCACCACCCCAAAAACAGTTAAGAGAGAGAATGGCTTCCATAACAGCATTAAAGGACCCAAAATGCCCATGTAACTTTGTATGTTAAGTACTGCTTTAATGATACAGCTGTTCTCATGTTTTTCAGGGTGGTAAATACATTAGAGATTTGTATCTCCACCCCACTGATTCTCAGGAAATCTAAGGTTGGGGTCGGAAGGTTTAAGAATCGGCTTGTGTCAGATGGATAGAAGGATAAGTGAGTCAAATAAGTTATCTTGGGTTCCCCGGACATGGAGACAGTGCAGCTGTGACCTCCCTCTGAGAGAAAGCATCCACAGAGATGGCTCCACATTTCTGAAGTGACTCACTTGAGGAAGATGTTGTCTGTGGCTTTGTCATTCCTGAATAGACGCATTTACTCTGTGCCCCGTCCAGACACTCAAACTGCTGGAGGTCCCCCCAGGATCTTAGGAGCCACTCTTCCATGTCACAGAACAAGTCCTGGAAATCAGCACTCATTTGAGGCTAGTGACTCTAATCGGCTGAAATGGCAAGGACCTGAAGAACTCAGAAGTTCCAGAGCACGACGTCCACACCAGCCCTCTAATCTGAAGGGAGGTAGGCCTTCATAAGAACTCAATCACTGCTTTTAAGGAACTTTATAGGTTGTTTTAATGCCTACTAAGAACATCTGGAGGCCTGAACAGCATCTACTAGCTGCTTGCCTGTGGTCGCTGATGTACCAAGACTGGTTTAATAGCCTTTCCTGTAGGATCCTAAATCCCGTGTATTCCCCCAAGGTAATATAATTAATTGCCTGCATACTAGTATCTCCCCTGCTGGCTTTGAAAGAGCTGGGATGGCAGGAATCATGCCATCTCTAGTGTCCCCTATATTTAGCACACCATACTTGGCAGGCACATCTAGGAATCATCATATAAACTCAACCAGAACTAAACAAGACTCAGAAATTCAAGAAGGAAAGAACCATTGACCCTGATAGTCCTGGCTCCAGGGTACTCATTCACCAAGATACAAACCGTTCAAGGGCTGAGGGCTTGGTGCAGCAGCAGAGACCTTGCCTAGCATGTGCAGGACCCTGGGGGTTCAGTTTCCAGAACAAAAGGAAAGAAAATGTCTTGTTTAACAAGCCATCCAGGGACTCTGGGGGGTGGGCTCTGGCCTCAGCTCTGAGCCCACCTGTCATAATTTTAAAAAGAAACAGCGAGAAGCAGTCACACCGTACAACAGGGCTCACGTGGGAGGTTTGTTGGAAGAGGAGAGAGAAGGAGTGGAGAAGGGAGCAGAGAAGGGGTCAGAGGCTGGTCCCTGGGGAAAAGAATGGTAGAAGACAGACAGACAGGCAGGCAGGCAAGCAGGCAGGCAGGCAGGGGGTGGGCAAGGCCCACCTTTTAAAAGGGAAAATAGTGAATGCAGACAGGAGGTGCTCTTAGTGACTGCAGCTGAGGACATATCCTGCCAGGACCCCAAGGGCAGGCCAGTACAGATGCCTAAACACTAGCACCACCCACATCTGGGTGGCCATCTTTGTACCACATGTTGTCTTCCTGCCCCCTCCTCTTTGCTCCCTGGTATTGCCAACCTGAACCAAGACTGCTAAATGGGAAGCTCATCCTGCTCAGCTTCTGAAAGGGTGTAAGGAGCCCGAATTTGAAAATGTCCACACATGTCTGGGTACTATATGCTCTCCACGCTCTAGGCACTGCCCTGTGGGTTAATGGGACCAAAGCCACCCTCCTGGTAGCTGACATCCACTCTCCTGAAGAGCTAAGGTTAGTACCGGTGTGGATGTGGAAGAAAGACCGTTTTTACCTTCTGGCTTGGAGAAGCCTTGTGGTGCAGAAGAACCTCACCAGCGTGAGCATCAGAAAGCACCACAGTCCCCAGCTGAGCTTGTCTCCTGCCCAGGGCCATAAGTAATGCCTACCACAGGGGAGGATGGTGGGAATTAACTGATGTTGAAGGGAAACCTCTCTGCAACCATGAAGACTGGACGGTGTCAGTTACTAATCATCACAAGCTCACTGATACAGATGAGTCTTGGGCCCTGTGCCCATGTGGCAACCTTGTCCTTGCCACTGCTCGGCTCTTCAGCCACCGGGATGGACATGTGCTTCTGTTTTCTTTTCATCTTTGAATCCACCTTGTCTCAACAAGTAAATGGGCCTCACATCACCCCCCTGGGGCTCCTCACCCCTCCCTCACCCTGCTTGACAGGCTGACTGTCCCCAGGGCCCCTTTATAGGACCAACACATTCCACCTACGGCTGCCTTTATGGAGTGGGGAGCAGAGCCCCGTGAGACTGAAATTGTTTATCTCATTAGAAGAGGGGGCACATAACTCAAAGGCCTGTGTGTAGAGAAGACAGAGAGACAAGGAGGAAGAAAGGGATGGGGCCACAGCCACTGTCAGGGGAATTAAGGGAATTGAGGGCTGAGCCTAGGGCTAGGGGTGGTTATAGAGGAGAGGAGGAAGGAGGTCCGGGACAAGACGGGGACCAATGCTCCCTGGCAACCAAGACCACAGCCGCCCCTCCAGTCACAAGACCCCCTGTGCAAACTGCAGCCCTGTTGCCCGGAGCATCTCCAGTTCCCACACTCTCCCTGTGTGAAAGCACGGGTGTGACAGGCACCCTCACACAGAAATTTGCACACTTGCTGGGTGAACTAGTTCCATAGAAAGCTGTGCTGCGTTGAGGCTGAGGCTTAAACGGCCAGCAGGTTGCAGACAAATACCTCGCCGTGCATGTGGTTCACATTTGGGCCTGAGTATCTCTGATAGTGCCTGAGCTAGGAAGAACTGGGAAGATGAAGTGATGTAGAAAGAGCACAGGAAAAGAATTTAGGGGGGCAGAAGAGGACTGAGTAATTCTCTCTCGCTCCAGCCAGATTCAAAGGGTGGAAGTTCAAGTCCTCTGAGGGGAAGGTCCTTTTGGCAGCATCCCAAAGGTGGACCATGGCTATGACCCTACCATCCCTGTAGTGGAAGGAAAAGTCATACATTCACAGGGCAGTGTGATAGCCAACACCTGTGCTACCCCACCTTTATTCTGAATCCAATTTTGGCTGCCAGAACTGCGGCTGGTCTGTCCTCCTTCTTGGCCAATAGTCACCAGAAACCATCTCCGTCCCACACACGACGTACCCCCCCACTCATGTTTGAAAGGAATCAGCCAAGACACTGAGGGAACAAGAGAGGAATGGGAGCACAAGAAGGAGGTAGGGACATCTGCTTGGAGCCAGATGACAGGATCAAATGAAGATTCCCGACTGCTGCTGGCCATTCAACATCTGTCTGCAGCCCCACCCAAGCCAGACAAATGGGAAGGCACACATGAGGCTCTTCTCAGGGCCATCAGTGCCGTTTAAAGAGCTCCACCACATCTCACTCCCATTGTATGTCACCACAATGGGTCATTAATGGCCTTCACATTTACAGACAGACAGTGACATGCATTGAGAATTCTTCACCAAGGCGTTGAGTGGTTCTTGAACTTTTAAATCTGAACTAGAATATCACAGACATGCCGAGGCAGTTATAATGGGGAAAATGCCTGCACAAGACATTTTTGCACAGATAACTCTTTCTCATATCACAGGGGCTCTGTCCATTCCCTGGTTGAAAAACATCCGTTTGGACCATCCTTACAGGGATGGGGAGATGAGCACAAGGCCCCAGGTAGACAATGAAGAGTGGGCAAGTGTGTTTCCTAAGCACACCAGAAATGTGAACCTGGAGCTCTCCCCACCTCTCAGCTTAGCTAAAATCTGCCCTGTTTTCAAGGTCATGAGTCATTCCTGACCTACCCCTAAATGATGAGTCTAGGCACGAGCACCGCACTCCAGAATTTAGTCCACATCACTGGGGACAGCCCTCCTGCTTGCCCTCTCTAAGATTCTACTCTGGTGTCCCTTGAGTGTCAAGACCAGCTGACTTTGTCAACATGGAGATGTGGCTTGTTTCTTCTGGCCGGGGGCTCCCAATCTTCATTCCCACCACTCTGTGGCAGGCACAGCAACAGAGGCTGACATTGAACACACTTTCCCCTTGGGGCAGAAACTCCAGGAGACATTTAAAGGATGAATCCAGAGGCTAAGGTTGACTTTGTAACCAGCTCAAAATCATGCAGCTCCTAATGGAGCCAGCTCATAGCAGAGGCACTAAGCCTCTCCTCTCTGTCCTATCTCAATGGGTCTCCTGTTGTTTGCCCAGCAGGATTAAAGCTGAGAGTGCTGCTCTCTGGGAAAACAGCTCCCCACACCAAGACCACAAGGAAAGGAGCCCCCAGTCCCTCTGCCCATGGCCACCAAGCCACTTCCTGTGGAATTCTCTTCCCTGTCACATCACATTGTCATCATAACCAACTCTAACTATTCAGAGAGAACAAGCCTCCTCATGATAGAAAGTGTTGTAGCAAGGCGTAAGAAATATATGAAGAAGCAGAAAATCACCAGGACCCACTATCTACACTTGTCAGAAGAACTTGTTTTAAGAGTATTAGGATTATGCTAAGAATAGTGACTGGAATACACTTTTAATCCCAGCACTCAGGAGGCAGGGGCAGGTGGAGTTCTGTGAGTCCAAGGCCAGGCCAGCCTGGTCTACAGAGTGAGTTTCAGGTCAGCTAAGAAAAAAGAAAAGAAAGATTACAATGTAACCTTAAAAACACAGGTCTGACCACCACCTGATATAAAAATTACATCTACAATGTCCCTGACACGGCTGCCCCAAACCCCAGCCTTTGTATCTGTATCTCTAACTCTCACTCCAGCATGAATCCATCTCCTACACTGTTGAAATACTCTGTTCTTAGAAATTTATCCACCATCCTGCTCCATTGCAAAGGATGCAGGGTATATGACATCATAAAGAAGTTGGTATCGTTAGCGAAATTCTGCAAGAATTCCCCTTTGACCTACCTATCCCATTCCCAGGAATCCCCAAATGTAAAAATGTTTATTCGCTGTAGCATAGCAAATGTCCTTATACAGGGACCTGCTTAAATAAACGACAAAATAAACTCACAATGGGCATGTTAAGATGTGTGGTGGCCCTGATATACCCCCAGCACTAATCCCAGCTCAGGGAGGGAGAGACTAGAAGATGAGTGGGAGTTCAAAGCCAGCCTCAACTAGAGAATAAATGAAACCCCTATCTTGAGAGCAGAGAGTAGGGGTCACTAGGGATGTGGCTCAGTTGGTAGATCACTTGCCTGTTATATATAAAACCCTGGATTCAGTTCTGCATAAAACCAGGCATGGTGGAGTATGCCTATAATACCAGCCATTGGGAAGCAGGGGAAGAGGATCTGAAATGTAAGATTAATTATCCTTGGCTACATAATGAATTCAAGGCCAGCCCAGGAGAAAGCCAGGTGGTGGTGGCACATGCCTTTATCCAGCACTTGGGAGGTGGAGGCAGTCAAATCTCTGAGTTCTGGTTGGTTGGTTGGTTAGTTAGTTAGTTAGTTAGTTAGTTAGTTAGTTAGTTAGTTAGTTCGTTCATTCGTTCGTTCGGTCCAATACAGCCAAGGCTGCACAAAGAAACCCTGTCTCAGAAGAAAAAGAGGGGAGCAGGGAGGAAAAGAGAGAGGAAAAGAGAAGAGTTAAGGCTAATGAGTGTTACCTTTTGAGAACATTTAAAAGAAAAGCCTCTATTCAAAAGCCAAAAAGGAAAAGTAAGAATGAAAGGCTACACCTACTCCAGATTTTACGTATACTAAAAAGCCAGTTTTTAAAAAACAACTTTTTCTGTTTGTTTCCAGATAGTGTGCTTGTGCATGCAAGAGGACAACTTGTGGAGATAGTTCTCTCCTTCCACCATGTGGGTTCCACAGCAACGCGTGCCATGACGTGCTGAGCCTTCTTACAGGATCCTATGAACTACGAGGCACAACTGATTTAAACAGCTTACTCAAACAGACAAACTACCTAAGCTTGCCCAAGATGAAGCTG